AAAGTTGTTGATGCACTTAGCCGTATGGACATCCCAAACCTTCTATCTTTCATAACACCAACATTTGATTGCCTTATAGAAATTAGGAGACACTACTCCTCTACCACCAAATATCTCCAATTCATGCAACACCTGGTGAACATGCTAGACCAATTTCCATATCACAAAGTTCAAGATGGTCTTGTTTATCGCTCCGGTCGCATCGTTGTCCCACACATGGCCAACCTTCGTGAAAAAATTTTCATCGAACATCATGCCACCCTAATCAATAGCCACTCCAACACACAACCCAACATACACGACCTCTTGGCTTCCTTCTACTGGCTACACATGGCAGCCATTATCAAAGATTTCATCCAATCTTGCACTGCTTTCCAACATGTCAATACATGAACCATAAACCTTAAGAATTATTATTACAGTTACTACTCATCCCCAACCAGGTATGGGATGACTTCACCATGGACTTTATCACACAATTACCTCTGTCCCAAGGCAAACTACTATTTGGGTCATTGTCGAACACCTCTAAGAAAGTGTTCATTTTGTTGGGTTGCCACCTCATTACACGGTTGTTACCATGACAACTCAGTTTCTCCACACACTGTATTGACTCCATGGCTTTTCTTACTCCATAATATCATACTGCAACCCCCTATTCGTTGGTTGCTTTTGGCAAGAGTTGTTCAAAAAACCAAGCACCACTCTCCGCCACTCGAGTGCTTACCACCCCCAAACCGATGGGCAGTCGGGGGTGGTCAAATGTTGCCTCGAATCTGACCTCCCTTGCTTTACAAGTGGCGAACCCATCATGTAGCACTGATATCTTTACCTAGCATAATATTGGTATAATACTATCCACCATAGCTCCATTAGGATGTCACCCTTTCATGCTTTGTATGGCTAGGAACCATCATCCTTTCCATCCTACCTGGCTGGTTAATCTACCATTGCTTCCGTTGATGACATACTCTTAACTCACAATCGCCTCCTAGAGCAATTGAAAACCAACCTCACTGCAAGTCAAGAACGAATGATCACAAGCGCTAACAAACATTGGTTGGCCAAAGAATTTCGACCAAGTGATTGGGTATATTTTAAAATGCGCATTTACAAGCAAGCCTCGGTTGCACAACGAACTTCACTAAAATTACCTCATCGCTACTTCGGGCCATTCCAAATATCAACAAAAATCGATGCAGTTGCTTATCGCTTGGAACTACCTCCCGACAATCGTATACATCCAACTTTCCACATCTCCCTCCTCCGCCCTTGTTATGATGATCCTACCGAGCAACAAACTCCGCTTCCCCAACTCACTCATAAAGACACGTTAGTCTTACTTCTAGATTTTATCATTCGCTTCTGACCATTCGATATACCTACCACTAACCACTATAGTGGTGGTTGTCATATCATCACCACTAACTACCACTAAACATATGAGATACATACCACTAAACATACCACTCCACCTAATTTTTTAATTAAATTTAAATAAAAAATGCATAAAAATCATATAATTTGTTTTTAAATACTAGTTTTTCATTAAATTTAAAAACAAAACTACATTTATTAAAATAGAAAAATAAAAATTACATTAAAAATAAAAATTACATTAGTGAAAATAAAAAAATAAAAATAACATTAAAAATTAAAAACCTAAAAATAACTAAAATAAACTACCCCCTATTCCTACGTCGGGATCAAACTCACTCTTTCATCGCGAGAAAAAACTTCAAATCTTTGTGTCGAGGTCTTACACTTTCATTTTCAAGATTTCTATATCGGATTTTGTTTGAAGCATTGCTTGTGCCTCTTGAAACAACGTCTGCGCTTCAAGCATTTTTTGTTTCACCCAACTCATAATCTTGACACTGTTCTCTTGAGCTTGCACATATCGATCAAATTTTTCTCCAAAATTATCCATAACACTAGATCATGTAGTCGTCAAACCCTATTTTTTTGCTTTGTTTCTTCCAACAGGCCGACGAAGAGGTTGCTCGTTTTCAAGATCGAGCGGATCATCTTTGAACCAGAAGATGTTTGTGAAAAGCTTTGCGGGTTGTCGATGTATTTATATTTGGAGCGTTTTTCAATTTTAGCCACACTTTCACATATAGAAAAGTTTTGCGGGTTGGTGTTGTTTTTTTCAAATTGGTCTAAGGCTGCATTGAAGACATGAAAATCGTTTGACCCGCTTTTGAATATATTTTGGAGGTTGTGATTGTGACGATTATGGATTGAATTGTTGTTGAATGGTTGGGAAATGTTGATATTGGTGTTGGAAAAGTGGTGTTTGTTGGGGGGGGGGGGGGATCGGTTTGAAGCAAATTGAAAAAACCACCTTAAGGTGATTCCATGGTCGGGAATTGGCGAGGGGTGGTATATAACGCAAAAGTGTTATCGGATTTACGATTTCTAAAGCTTTGCGGCAGCGGCGGGGGGGGGGGGGGGGGGGGGTATTTTGGTTGGGATCCATGGTTTTTTGGTTATAAAATGTTGTGTGTTTTTTTTTGTATAGAAAAAGAAAATAATAGTGTAAGAAATAAGAGTTAAAATTTTGGTATTTATAGGTAAAAGTTGTGGTTAAAACAACATTTTTTTTAAGAAAAACATAGCAGCTCAACGGCTAAACCGGTTCAATGTCAAGAATTATGTCCTGATTTGACGCTACGCACCACGAATGATAATGAACACGCCCGACTATGAATGGTCGGGATAGTGTGCACCAGCATATTTCGTGGCCACGTAGACAATGGATCGTTTCGTGGTATCTATACCATTTGGCCTTATAGAAGAAGTATGTTCGTCACGGATAAAAGTTAAATAAGATTATATTTACAGTAGAATCTCTATAAATTAATACTCGATAAATTAATAACATCGAAAAATTAATAATTTGTCCGGTTTCAACTTGGTGTCTATACCATTTGACCTTATAGAAGAAGTATGTTTATCACGGATAAAAGTAAAATAAGATTATATTTACACTAGAACCTCTATAATTTAATACTCGATAAATTAATAACATTGATAAAATTAATAATTTGTCCGGTTACAACTTGGGACCAATACAAAATTGGATCCCAATCGATAAAATAATAAAATAATAATTTATTTGAAATTTCAATGTAAATATATTGGTCCCAGCGAAACTATAAATTAATAATTACTAAAATATTAAAAAAAAATGAATCTATAATCACTTGTTTTTTTGAAATTTCAATGTAAATATATTGATCTCAATCGATAAAATAATAAAATAAGAATTGTCTAGTAAAAAATGAATCTATGATCACTTGTTTTTTTTATGAACTTCAAATTTATATTGAGTTCATCTTTAAATCTACCAATTGGATTTAAGAGTTGAGACCATGTATTCTTGTATTTCAACAAAAAGTTGTGAAGAGTTGTTGCCACTTGCAATGTTTTTTTACGAGTGACAAGTTCCAAAGGTACTGAATCATCATTGACCGAATTTTGAACGGTATCCGCTATAACTTCTTCAATGATTTGAACTTCGTAACATTCATTATCTTCACCTGGATAATCCAACAACTCATTCACATCCATTTTGTGCTGATAATGCATTCTCGTAATCAAGTTCTCAAGCACACGAATGTCTTCTCCAAATTTTACCTCGTTTAAATCATTTGAGCCGGTTGAATTAGTCGAGCAAATTTATAGTGTAAAAAACAATTTGCTATGGACTCTTGTTTCACATTTCTCCAAGCCGAGACAGCCAAGTTGATGACATCTAAAATATTAATCTTTTCTGGGGAAGAAATGTCCAACTCACAATCTTCTAAAATCTTACGATAAAACCTTTTACGTTAGTACATTTAAAGACTTTAATTATCCCAACATCAGTTGGTTTGAGAGTGGCTCACGGATATAAGCCAACTCTTTAAATTAATAATTTATTAATTTATCGATATAATAATAGCTTGCTAAATTAATAATACCTTAGTTCTAACATTATTAATTTATAGAGGTTTTGCCGTATAGCTTTATATAAATTAAAGAATGTACATTAATAAATAAGAATGATTTTGTTACGTGTCTTTCTCTTATTCAATTAACCACATGTAATTTTGTCATAATTTCGATATATATTTATTTTCCACTTGTCACATTTTTTTTTTTTTTTTCATTTTCAATATATCATTAATTTAGTTTATATAAATTAAACCTACATAATGATTATTAATTTTAAATTTCAAATAAATTTACACTTTAAACTTTATATTTAATAGTATTTTGTTATAATTAACCCGTTTAGTATAAAGTTACACAACTAAACACATAATTTTAATTTATTTATTTTCTGGATGTTTGTTTTTTGCATAATTTTCATTTATTTAATATTTCAAATTCAAATAAACTTCCCATTTAATCATTTTTATTTAACATTTTGTTTTAAGAAACCCGTATAATAAACGGGTCTCACAACTAACTATCTAACCATTCTTATGAAAAGCTTAATAATGGTGTAAATTTAGAATGGTTCTAGTTACAAAATGTTTTCCAAGATATTATAATAGAGATTTTCTAATATTACTCGAAAGAAGTAATTAAAGTTATCCATTACATTTTGTATTTATTCGTACATGGAAGTAGATCGGGTGGTTTATCTACAGACGCTCATAAACCCGCCACGCGTACACTCCAATCGTAAGTCAGCTTTTCACCAACACGTGTGTACCTCACGTGTCATTGTTCTACCCATAAACACAAGGAAGCCACTTTCAAATTAACCTCGAAGTTGATAATAAATTGAGTGATTGTAAATTTTAACATTTATCAAAATTAAAATATATTAAAATATGTTAATTATTATGATTTCATGCAGTAGATAGATAATGCTTTAAATCATTTAATATTGCGATTTTTAAATATCATTAATAGAATTTCAAAACCATTTTTATATTCTCACTCTGTCTCACCGTTTATATATCTGTCTCCAGGAAAATATACCGTGGGAAACATATCATACAATGGAAGGTGGATGCGAGGATGAAACGGCGGTGGGGATGGCGGTTGCAGTTGTGGAGGAGGGTTGTGCAACGCCTAAGCATGAGGGGTGTCGGATACCATCAGTGCCGGTGGTGTGTCCTCCCCCACCAAGGAAAAAACGGTGGTCAGCTTATGGTAGCGGCGGAGGAAAGCGGGAACCACCAAAGGACGGGTATTTCAGGTCACCGGAGATCGAGTTATTTTTTGCAAGAAGACATGAAGCTTGCGCTTAGGATTATATATGAATTAGTTAGGGATTAGAAGTTTAGAACGATAGTTGATTTCAAAATTAGGTTTTGTAATATTAAAGGGTTGCCATTGTATGTTTTTTTGATAGATTTATGGGAATCCTTGATTGCTTTCTACAAACTTTTTGCTTAATAGAAAATACATTACATATGTATTTACAAGATATTTACAAGATTTATGCATGTATGTGTATGGTTTTTCAAAGTGATTATCGCATAAATAATAGTACATGTTATAGATTATCCGAGTGGTTTGCTTTTTTCTATTTTTCTTGTTTTATTATTTACTTTTTCTTGTTTTTTTAACAGTTGCATGTTTAAGGTTCATTTTCTTACATAGAATTTAATAAAATCAAGCTGAAACTTAAATTAATATACTTAACTACGGTTTGCATCCTTAGGATTTGTAGCAGAAACTTGATTTTTGTTTAAAAAATACAATATGACGAATATATAGAAAATTAACTAGGGTTTGCATCCTTATGTTTTGTAGGAGAAACTTATTTTCTTTAAAAAAAATTCACGACCATCTTGAAACGGTTCGAGGCTGGGAGCAAAATAACGGTTCGTGACCGGACCAAAAAATAAAAAAATGATGCCTTTTGCGATAGATCTATAAATATAATTTTTTTATTTTTTTTATTTTTTTTTATTTTTTTATTTTTTTTGTAAAGGGTGACCTCCAAAAAAAATTATTAATTAGAAAAATAAAATTAGTACAATTTATTATATATATATATATATATATATATATATATAGAGAGAGAGAGAGAGAGAGAGAGAGAGGGAGAGAGAGATATATAGATAGATAGATAGAAAGAGAGAGAGAGTTAGGTTGATATATAAATCATAATTATTGTGTGAATGTGTGACTAAATCTCAACCAATCATTTAAGAAGGGTATAAAAGTAACTTTAGTTATATTTAAGTATGATAAACTAATTAATTCCCTAATATTTTATAGGACCCGCATTTATCCAACCCTTTTTTTTATCCCTAATTATTTTTCATTTAATATTTCCTCCTCCATCTACACTCTTATCCAGCAATAAAGGTCCTCAATCGGTGCCTGTTCTTTAGAAACATAAACCTATTCCATAGAGACGGAAAATTGAAACGATGTTTAGAATGGTTCTCTATCACCGGAGATTTCATCATCAGGCGTTGGTCGACCATCTTCGATCAATGGCACACTTGTCGGCCGCTCAACCATCTTCCGTCAACGTTGCAATCATCGACATCTCTGTCGTTCTTGATCACCGAAACACTCCGACATCTTCACCATCATAGATCCTAGACACAATCAGAAGTAATCACAGGCCCAATCAGGTGTAATCAGTAACTCTGTGATCTCTAATCATTCTTCAAAAAAAATATCGATGTTGTCATTGTAATGTTTGTTGATCAAGCTATAGCTTTGCGGGATGTTGGTTTTTTTTTTTTTTTCGTTTTTTTTGCATTTATTTTCGTTTATTAATATATTTTATTAAATACACTTATACCTTATGTGATTATTATGTAAAAAATTTGACAAAAAAATGTTAAAAATAATGAAATGTTTTACGTAATACGTTTGTATTTATGTATGTCTTTCATGTATTTGTACTTATAAATAACGTAATACAAACCAGTGCATATAAATAACCTAATTAAAAGTATACAAATATTCCATTTTTTTATATGTTACAAAACATACCTTAGAAAACATAAACATACAACATTCATAATAAACATACTTTGAAATAAACTTTATTCATTCGAATCGAACCACAGAAACTTTGATCTGTTTTCGTATTCCGTCCATGGGTCATCTATTGCTTGTGTCCTTAGGTTTATTCTCTCTTGCGTCCATTGGTTATCTGGCTCTTGCTGCCATTGGTACTCGGTTCAACCCCGCCATTGGTTATGTGGCTCTTCCTGCGGTTGGTATTCGGTCTCTTGCGCCCATTGGTTATGTGGCTCCTGCTGTCATTGATGTTCGGTATGTTGTGTCCATTGGTTGTCTGGATGTTGTTGCCATTGATGTTCGGTCTTTTGTGTCCATTGGTTGTCTAGCCACTGCTGCCATTGTTGTTCGGCATGTTGCGTCCATTCGTTCTCTAGCTTATGCTGCCATTGGTTTCGGTTGCTTGCGTTGGTTCCTCTTATGTCGCTTTTGTCCCACTCCTTGCGCCCCAGTACATTTTTTAGTTTTACTTTGGTTCTTTGGAACAATTTCCTTACACGTCCTTGCATTATGAGTTGTGCTATGGCATCTAGTACACCTTCTTATTTTTGGTTCTTCACCTTGACATGGAATACAAATGGTGTTTTTTGGTCTACCGGATTAACGTATTTCCATCACAGGAGGGTTAACAACCATAAGGTCATCAAGAACCTACCAATCACTAAGTTCTGAAAGAGGGTATACAGCCTGCTCGTACGTTCTTCGATATTTTTCAACTTTATAAGCATCTATAGTCGTATGCCCACAATGATCATTTTTCAAGTGCGCTAAAACCATTATCACATGACCACATGACATACCAGTTAGTTGCCAATATTTGCAAGAACAAGTATTTTCCCTCAAATTCACTATGTCGCCGCTTTTGAAGTCATGCACTTGATATGTTGTATTGTCAACACCGAATACCGACCATCCTTGAATCTCCTCTTTATTTTTTTTAACCATATCTTCAGCCCACTTCGTAAGTATTGTTGTACTTTTTTCTGTTAAAACAAACATATATTATTATATATGACATTTATCATATCATTTAAAATTAAACATAATCATACCTATAGCCATTCGCCATTTGTAAAACCATTTCTACATAAGTGCGCAAAAGAACTCAAGAATTGGAAATATAGGCAACTTCCTTGCTTTATTTGATACATCATTCATGGACTTCGCACTATTTGAGGTCATATAGTCATACCTCGTGGTAGGGCAATACGCTCTGGTTCATTTCTCACGTGGAATTTAACTGAGATATGTCGCTATATCATCTCTTTACGAAGTCTCCCCCAATAGAATTCAAACTCATTGGTTTTGTAAGTTCTTACCAGTTTCCAAAAGAAAATTGTTGTTGTTTTTTTTGTTTTTCCAAAGGTGTGGACTATGTTTCCTATTAGATGAAAACCATACAATCCATGTTGAGCATTTGGAAAAACATTTTGAATACTTACAGCAATTGTGGGTGCTCTATCTGTGACCATTGTCAGACTTTCCACATCACCAATGCATTCATGTAGTTTTCAAGAAACCATGTCCAAGGATCCGTAGTCTCTTTTGGGACATTCCATACCCAATAGGTAAGATCTGATTGTTTCCATCCATGGCTACTGCATGCAAGATGGTGCCTTTGTACTTTCCCTTCAAATGAGCACCATCCATAATAATAACTTTTCTACAATACTCTCTAAATGCACGTATCTGCAACAACAATATAAAAACCATTAATATATCAACAATATAATTTGTTTATAAACATTTAAGAAAATAAAAAATATATTTAAACATATATTACCGTGCATCCAATAGCCAAAAAGCAATCCTCAAAACGATCCTACGAATCAGTTTTTATGTACGCCACAGTACTAGGATTATGTTTCTTCAAATTGTGAAAATAAATTGGAAGTTTGGAGAAACTTTCTTCGGGGGTCCCCATCATCAATCCCAAAGAAAATTCTCTAGCATGCTACGCTTGTGAATAACTCATATTTATTTGTAGCAAAGCATTCATATCTCTCATTATATCATTAGGCTTCCAAAGTCTCAAACTTCCTTAATTGACCCGTAATGTTATGTATTATGGTTCCCAAAAGTTCACTATTTGCTTGCCTATGATTTAGGTGTATAAGCAATGAAGAACATGTATGCTCGTCATTAAACGTTTTAATTTCAAACATTTATGTTCCTTTAATGACACATGCGTACAAACGCCAATGATAATTTTCTTGCATACAAACAACCTGGTACCAACATTTTGAAGATTTCTCAATCTTTATCTGAAACTTTTCTCTAACAGCTATGAATTTAACAACAAATGCTAGCTCTTTTTTGGTGTTATAGGTTTGATTGATAATTAATTTATCATTCGGACATAAACAGTGAAATGGTCCAGGTTCAGGACTAGGTTTTGGACAATCAGGTATAGAAGGAATACAATACCATGGATTAAAAACGGTTTTTTGTTGCGTGTACTCATCACCCGACCACCCTTCATTTGATTTTTCCCCACATCTTCGATCACCAGTTTTAGGAACTTCTCCAAACTTGAACAAATTTTCACGTTGTAATTCTGTCATGCCCACTTTTGGTTCTTTATGATTATCTGATACAAAAGTGTCATTCCCTCTTCCCCTTGAAAGGTTTCCATCATATTGGCTTTCTCTACGACCTCTATTACTTTTTGTTGGATTAAACTGGTTGTTAACCACTGCTTGTTCTTCATCTTCTTCACCTACCACCGTTAAATACAAATGCACTGTCTTCTTTGATTCAGACATTACATGTCTCAGTTGAAATACATCAGTTTCATCTCCAAGCTCCATGACATACCCTAACTTCGGGTGTTTAAAAGGCAAACATATATGACTATTTAACACACCCGCCTTATGTAACATCCCAAATTTCAGAAGTTTGAGTTAAGGGCTTAAAGTGTAAATTAAAGAAGGGAGTCGACGATTAGGTATACTTACTCGCCGAGTCGGAGCAGGTTGTGGTCGCGAGTTAAGTGACCAACTAGCCGAGTCAGCAGTTGGACTCGACGAGTTTGTGCTGAGAAGAGAAAACCCTAATCTTAGGGTTTACACCCTATTTAAAGGACTTTATGTTCTCCCCTCAGCCTCCTTATTGCCCTTGAGAACCATAAAACCCTCAGCTCGTGTGTTTGAGTGTAACGACCGAAATTTTGAAACAATTAAAACTTTTCAAAAACAACCCATTTTAATAACGTCGTTACAAAAAGGTTTTCAATACATTATTTAACAGAGTATTTTCCCAGGTCCATTTCATAAAACACCAATGCAAGGAATGGTACGATCACGCCTTTGCCTTGCCACAGACTCCTGAGAACCTGAAAACATTAAAAACCACAACTGTAAGCCCGAAAGCTTAGTGAGATACCCCCAAAATACCAACCACATATACGCCCTTCCAGGCCACAACCTTCCGGTCCAAAACATATCGCCTTCCGGCCCATAGCGTAATGCCTTCCGGCCCATAACACATAGCCTTCCGGCCCCATATCATATCGCCTTCCGGCCCGCAACATAAAAGCATACATATCATGACAGAACATAAAACAACCATGCACATAACATGTAATCATATAACAGTTCACAGTTAGCAAATCGATCAACAGATCACATAACATATCATTACTCTAACCAAGATACCAGCCTAGCCGATCACTAGCATAACATCGCCCTACGACTCAGTCAACATACTAATTATGCACGCACGCCTTTCCAGGCCATGATCTTTTGGTCCACATCGTATTGCCTTCCGGCCCACAACATGTAATGCCTTCCAGCCCATAACGTAACGCCTTCCGGCCCATTTCCGCAATATCATACAACAGACAATTACTCGGGATTTCCATCCGATAAAAAGGGGTCGGCCTTGGTGCCTTAAACCCTATAGATATAGTGAGGATAACTCACCTTGAAACTGCCGACTGAACAGATAACCTGAACTGCTCCGATCCCTGATACAATCTCCACCACTGGACAGCCACCAATGCACTGAAATCAAAACCATAACCAACAATTACCAAAATACCCCTGGAAACCACTGGTCAACCCTTGGTCAAAGACTGGGTCAAAGTCAACCCCTGACTGACCCTACTCGCCGAGTCAACCCTATGACTCGCCGAGTTCCCAACTCAAAACTTCACTCAATCCGTGACCTAACTCGCCGAGTCACCCCGAGACTCACCGAGTCCAACAACTCTGAGTCCATTCGCACATAACTCACCGAGTCATCCCTTGACTCGCCAATTCTTCGACTCGACCAGAAAATATTGGGACTCTTCGACAAGACTCGCCGAGTCCAAGAACAGACTCGCCGAGTCTAAGGCTATCTTCAACCTACTTGCCGAGTTGTTCATCCAACTCGTCGAGTTCCAGACCATCTTCATCCAACTCGCCGAGTTGTTCTTCCAACTCGTCGAGTCTCAGCTCGTCTTCAAGCAACTCGTCGAGTCCACCATATGACTCGCCGAGTACCACCGGTCTGAATCCAAACAGAAGCGTTCCAGACCATGCAATTGATCCAAAACATAGATCTAGCCTCCTACAACTCATCCATCACGTAAAGTGGCAATCTTTACGTGAATCCAAAGAGATCTATGCATTTTGCACATTAGGGCCAAGGTTTGGGACACGATAGCTTCATTCAACACTCAACACAGGGACTTTCCTGCATTCTAGCCCTCCTCCATTCCAGATCTGAGGTAGCAACCTCAGATCCAACCTTTAGACTCCAAAATAACCCAAGATAAGTTTCCCCCCCAAACCCCAAAATGAAGAGACAAGACAATAGCAGCTCAAGAACGAGATTTTACCTTCAAGGAATGCCTAAACTGTAAGGAAACTCGAATCCAAGCAAAACCCCTTGCTCCACACCTTCAAACTTCCAAACTTTCTCCAACAATTACTTCTCCAAGCCCCAATCCACTCAACAATGGTGCTTCTCCACGATTTTAGGGTTTCAATGACTCAAAGGGGTGATAAAGAGGCTGGGGAGGAAACATAATGCTCTTTATATGGGCTCAACCCCGAGAATTAGGGTTTTCTCCACTCAGCGCCTACTCGCCGAGTCCATCTCCATGACTCGCCGAGTCGGCTATTTAACACGCGACCAAGTCGCGACTCTACTCGCCGAGTCCATCCGTGGACTCGACGAGTCACTCTTTCCCAAATTACACTTTTAGCCCTTCCACACAACTCTTGCTATTTCGGGATGTTACAATTCTCCCCACTTAAATTAGGCTTCGCCCCCAAAGCCTACAACAATACTTCTCAAAGATGTTCCCACAACTCGCCATCTGACCTTAACCGGACCAGGTCCCACAAGGCATACCCGTCGAAACTCGAATACACTTCCCTTCCTTTATGGTGTCCTGACCACCGTCTCGAACCGGGCACCGACTGTACCCTCTGATAATCACACTCAATACCGAGAATTACCCAAGATGCATTACTGCCCCAAATCTCAAAAATCACTCGACCCATAAGGGTTAGAAAACTTTGAACCGTCGGTTCCCCGATCCGAAACCACTTTATCCAATCTGGGACGACTGAGAGACCCATTCTCAATTTCAGAGCTACTCCCACGAGTTCTCCCCTTGCAACCGCATACACATGCTGAACTAGTCCTAACAGCCTCAGGTTGGGAAAACCTGATACACTGATAATATCCTCAAACATCCCCCGGATAAGCCACTAATACATACCCCATACCCTGATCAAAATCACACTGAGAGTTCAAGACTCTCTCCCTGAATCCTTTCTGAGCCTCTTGGCTCTACACCTGCGGAATTTCCTTCGCAACCTCAGCAGGCATCCCAAAACCGGATAAGCTCTATTCCACTGCCGTAAACATGCTGCTCAAACCATACTCGAAGTACTCGATTCATAACTCTACTCTGCCATTTTTACTTCCGTGAACTTGCACTCCCTCTCGGAGTTACACCTCCCTCTCTCTTCCTTTACCAGGAAACCACTCGACCACATTGCACTCCGACAAGTGCCACGGTGTTCGCCCAACGCTTCACCACCTATCATAGCGTATCCGCTATCCATCCAACACACATATTACGACTCTCATCGCAGGGGACCCTCAAGCTCATGCACTATCTCAACTCACCAAGATCACTAGCCGGGGCCAGACCTTCTAATGCAAACACACTGCGACATACCCAATCCATATCCTCAACTGATCCAACAATACCTGCAGAGTCTTCAGCATGACTGGACCATCTTACCAGGCCTTCAGTCCATTCTGGACCGCTCAACAAGCGTTCATCATTCCGAGCTATCGCCCCCGGAAATCCTCCCATGCATACCATTCTAGCCCTCTAGGGGTTTCCGAACTCTAATTCCATCATACATACTCGATCCCGGCCTGCTCCCACGCCTCCACAATCAAATGCCCTAGGTCGGTATCCCGCCTCGCATGCCCGACACTCGCTCCTATCAGCCTATACTCTGGGCTGACAGAACACTGCTGAATCCCAACAGCTAAGCACTCTAAAATACTCATCGATCTCCCAGAGAGTTCTCCAACTCCCCCACTTATTGCACTGATTAACAACCACGGTCGCCATCACCGACCTTCCAGAACAACCCTGCACAAAGAGAACACTTACACGCGGCCTGCTTCCCACAAGCATAAACAACCTCAATGAGATCTCATATCAAACACTGATTAACCCGCTCGAAGAAACTCAAACTGTATCTAACCACTCCTCGGGAAGCCGATGCTACCCGACCTTCAACCCAATGTCGCATCTCCACTAATAACCCTCACGAAATAACCAACGAAAGCACAAAACACCAAACTATAACCATACCCAAACCTCAGGGAACAACGGATATCAATACGAAACCCGAATCACAAATCCATAACCAGAACCTCAACCCGCAAAATGACGAATACAGCATCAAAAAACCACACAAAGATACCAGCACAAACAATACACCACAATGATCGCAAGATAACATGACATCCAGAAAGAAACATACCCGCAGCTGCATCCGATACTGCTCTGACCTCCTCTGCCGCAAGCTAATAAGCACGACCCTGA